AATATTATTTTAAAGGTTATTATTAATTATTGCAGGTGTTTTTAATATTATATTATTATTATATTTTCATTCTGTAATAACGTGTAATCAAATTATTATCATTTTTATCATTTTTATCATTTGACTCTTCTTCTATTTGATCTTTCAGGAGCTGGTCTTTTATTGAGCCATTTACAGATAAAAATTGAAAGATTTCATCATCAATAGTAATTTCAGTATAATAACGATTGTTTATCTTCAACCAATATAACGCATGAGTAATTTTATCACAGCAAATATGAAAATTCCTAAATGATGTTGACTTTGTGAACTGCCAATATACAATTAATACATTTATCAATGATGGATGCTGAAGAAGTCACGTGGTAAACTCTTGCACATCTTGAAAAAAATTTATTACATTGTCATAATATCCATATTGCCCTCCATGAAGTTTATAAACAGACATTACTGGAAATACTTGTGATATTGTTATTTCTTCAATTTCTGTAAGATCTTCTAACTCTTCTGATACTTTTCCCAGATCCATATCATTTTCAGTGCTGAACCTTTTTGACAAATTTTTTTCATTATAACAATATCAACATTCTCTCTTAACAATTATTATTGATGGAAAACTTTCGTTACATAAAGAGCAAAGGTTAAACTTTAGCTTATCCATTTTAACTCAAAATTGGTGTAGAACATTCTGATCAAGTTCATCAAGTGTAGTTTCGTTTATACATATTTTCAAAATTGATTTTGAATTTTTAAGGTATTTTGACTTTTTGAAATTTATGCAAAATCTATTTTATATATGGAAGTAAAAAAAGTACTCAGTTATATGTATCTTTAATCAAAGAATAAATCTAGGTAATCAAAAAATTTTAGATTTTAAGTAAAATAATTTCGTCTTCTATGAAAAACTATTTCGACTTTTTTCTCCGAAATTGTAATTTCAGAATTTCAAAATAATTTTGCGTTGCAAGTATAGTTGCATTACTTTGAGATTGGAAAAACCTTTGTAAATTGATATTATAATTTTGTTATTCGTTAATAACATCCAGTACATTTATTTGTGTTTCATTATTTTCCTATTCTTGTCTTTGTCATTTTCATCCATTATTATTGGTAAGACATGGTTTGTTTTCATCTACTATTATTGATGAAACGTGTTCTTTTTTCTTGTTTTCTTTCATGATCCTGAGAGAGTCTTTCATCACGTTGATCAGGTGTTTCATATCTTTTACTTTTCCATTTTCTTTGAGCATCAAGAGAAACACTTTGATTATTTATTTATAACTGTTTTTATTGAAAAAAATATAAGTATAAAAACTCTTACAATTGAATAAAATTTTATACTTTACTGATTAACTGATTTTAAAGTTTGGACCAAGATCAAATTGATTAGTTATATAAACTTCATATAGTAGTACAAACGTTAAGCTGTAAATATTGTCTTTGTTGATCGATCTTGAACATAAGTTCATAATTTGATTGGTTGACATATGCATATGTGTGGTTGTACAAATATTAGAATGAAGGCAAATGTGACAAGTGACATAGATCCGCAAGTAAAAATTATAGATTTATAGTATATAGCAATTAAAATAATTTTTTTATATATTTGTAATAAATTTGAAACAATAAAATAAAAAATGAATCTTTAAGACTTATTGTAATATAAATATTTTAATTCTGTCAATAATAATTTATTATAGTATAACATATTGATCAATTGTAATTCAATACATCATTAATAACATAATACATTGATTAATTACATTGATTTATAGAGTAATAAAATAAAAAATAAATCTTTAAAACTTATCGTAATATGAATATTTTAATTCTGTCAATAATAATTTATTATAGTATAACATATTGATCAATTGTAGTTTAATACACATAATACATTGATTAATTGCATTGATTTAATTCTAATTTAATTGTAAGACAATAAAAAAAGAAGTCATATGAGATCGGATTTTTTGCTCCGGACTTACAACGGTCCCCGTTTCCCTAGTAACCATTCCAATTACGATTGGATCATGTGTGCGCCGTCATTCGAGTGATGACTGGTTCATGAGTTTGTCGTCACACTTAGGTACATATGATCTATAAAAGACAGAAATGTGGTACCGTCGTCAGTGTTGTAATATATTTTATGACACATTTTCCGTCGTCAGTGTCGTGATATATTTTTTATGACACATTTTCGACAACAGAAATGCGACACCGTCGTCAATGTCGTGATATATATTTAATGATATGAATTTGATATCATCACCTGATAACATGTTATTGGTTATGGATGATATAATGTATACCATATCTATTTTTATTCAAACATCTGGTGATCACAATCACATCATCAAAGTCATGATATAATGTATTGTACGATTCAAAGAACAATCTGATAAATGATCATATATAAATACTAGCTTTATTTCATAATTAACTTTATATTCGATACAACAAAAAAAAATGCATAAGGTAAAGTTTCTTATTATTTCCCTTTTACAAATAATATCAATAACAATTGTTATGTGATTTTTTAGTGTTCCACTTGTAACGGTGTTGGACATAAACCTTACGACCACTGTACATACTGCCATGGTTCGACGTACCAATATGGTGGTTATCTGGGGATTAAGTGTTATAAGTGTAAAGGGACTGGTTATGAACCATGTCCAGGTTGTGGAGGAAGTGGTTATATCTCAGATCCAGGTGATAATGCTTGCACATTTCTCTAAAATTTTAAAACATGTCATTTGTGACATATTATATAATCAACTTGTAAAATATGTATATCAATAATAAGCTCAAAGGGCCCAGAATAGTGTATTAATACTGCATAATGAAACATATCAATAAAATGTTTTTTGTTAATAATGCCTCTGATTTCAATAAAAAAATCATGTATATGACATATGTACTCACCTATTACAAAGTATACCACATAATTGCTATCGACTAATGCTGTCAAATTGAGTTTGATCACGTCCAAGTTACGTCCTAGTTGCATTTTATCGATACATACATCATAAATGTTATCGGGAAATACTATCAAAACGATTTCGATCATGTTTAAAGACATGTTATATCAAAGTATATCGATATTTTTGTCACAAGTTGTTTATAGGTACTTGTGACAGAACCTGTGACACTTGTTTGAAAGTTCTGAGTCTTTTCGTTTCTTTCTTGATTAGTTTTATATATATGTCACAAGTTACTTAAGGAAAAAAGTAAAAATCTAAGAGAAAAATTAAAACTTTTTCTTATGTTATACCTTTGACATATATCCGATATATATGCCTAATATATACCTGCCGCCCAAATTCAAAATCAAATGCCGAAATCCCAAATCCAAATTATTTTTGGCATTCCATATTATATTTTTATTTATTTTTTTTTTTTTAAAAAAAAAATAATAATAAAAAATACTTACCGCGAGGCCCGCGAAGCCCATTTCGACTTCCACGAACATCCTCACGAACTCACGAGCCTAATTCTAGAGAGGAAAGGAGAAAGGTAAGTTTATTTTATTTTTTTTTTAAAAAAAATAATTTAAAAAAAAAATAAAAATAAAAAAAAAAATAAAAATAAAAATAAAAAAATACTTACCGTACCGTCCCCGCGGGTCCGCGAAGTCCATTTCGACTTCCACGGACATCCTCACGAACCTACGAACCTAATTCTAGAGAGAGAAGGAGAAAGGTAAGTATTTTTTTTTTAAAATAAAAAATTACATTAAAAAAACTTTAATTATTCCGTTGCACTGACTCAAATATTTTTCCCACGCAAATATTTTTTGCCACTCCCAAATATTTGGGATTTGACCAAATAATTTTGCATATTTTGGCAGCCATAATGCCAAAATAATTTGGGATTTGGGCAGCAGTATACATGAGAACTAGTTTAAGAAGGTTGACAATATTCACAAAAAAAAAGATCTAAAATGATGAGTAGAAGAAAAAGATTCAAAAGGATAAATAGAAGAAGGAAGAGGAGAAAAAGGATTATAACTTCCAGAGGTTTTTCTACTTTTTAGATTTTTTTTCTTTTCTCATTTTTCAGATTTCTCTTCTACTCCTAACTCCTTTTCTACAAGCTTTAATAATTGTTTTCTTTGAAGTTTCTGTTAAAAAATATAAAATTATGAATTATTTATAATAAAATATTATAATTTTTAACAATGTACTTACAAAATTTATTTTAATTTATTTTTTAGAAATTTGATTTTCCTTTATTTGGAGATTCAAAAAAAGTTGAGCTATTACAATTATACTTATTTGACATAACATCAATACAATTCAATATATTACAATTTTTTATAGGTATTATTAAGTAAAATAATTTGCAGATATAATTTGAATAATTGTTTTATTAATTGATGTAATTAATATAATTATTTTACTGTAAAGTATAATTATAATATCCTATACAATATATATATTAGAAGTCTTTCTTCTAGATTTTTAAATTTTTTTTAAAATAATTTACATATAGTAATGATTTTTTTTAAGAAAATTCTCAAAGAGCTTGTAGTAGATTACTTTAACTCTTTGGTTTGACTTTCAAGAAATAATCTCTACTGAGAAAAATTGGAAATTTATATGAGGGAGTTAAGATTTTTTAAAGATTTCAAAAATTACAATTTGACCTAAAAAGTAATTTCATTTTACATTTTTCAAAGTTTTTCTAATAATTATTATTAAAAATATTTAATATAATAAAAATAAAACAATATATAATGTATTTTATTTAATAAATAGTTCTTATTTTAGTTTTTATACTTTTGAAAAAATTTGAATAGTATCATAAATTTATCAATTTATAAATATTTGAAAATTTTTTATTAATAACATTGTTATGAAAGGAAAATTAACATATTAATTAATAGTAAAAATATTACTAATACATAATAAAAAAGAAACTTAAATTAATGAATAAAGAAAATATAGATAATAGAAAATAAAAATATAATCTGAGTGTAATATTAAAGATCATCAATTACATAATACACAATAATAGTTATATAATTTAAATAATTAAATATAATATAATTACATAAGATACAATAAAATACAAATTCTTAATCTATAAAGAAAAATATAAATATTAATATCTAGTTAATAGTAATAATTAATAATATTTAGTAATATTTAATAATACTTAATAATAATTTAGAAATTATAAATAGTATTTAATAATACAATATAAAATATATTATTATTTTTAATTATTACATTCATTATTAAATATTTCCATTAAATTATTAAATATATATAAAAAATAAAATATCTAATAATTTAAAAAAAACATTATAAATATAAAAAACAAATAATAAAATTATAAAAAAAAATAAAAATTTTTAGTTAATATTTAAGATGCTAATTAACTAATATAAATCTCTTATTATATATAACTTTTTATAATAAATAGTTTTTTTTTTATATTAAATATTTATTACATTTTATGAAACTTCTACTATATATCATAACTATACTTATTTGACATAATACTAACATAATTTAATGTATTAAGTAAAATAATTTATAAATATAATTTGATGTAATTGTTTTATTAATTGATATAATTACATAATTATTTTACTGTGAAATAAAAAAAAAAATGATATTTTTCATTATGCTCTGAACAAAAAAATAATAAAAAATACAAATGCAATATATTGATTTGTAATATAATGTATAGTAGACTATAAGAGTTGATAACTTTTTATACAATATATACTAGTATTAATAACATTCTAGAATAATTCATTATATAACATTATTAATACTGATAATTTCTATAATATTATAGAATAATATATTATATAATATTATTAGTATATATTATTTGTAATATGTTTTAGAATGGATTGTTCTAGAATATTATTTATATTTATCATTTGTAAAATATTATAAAACAGATTGTTCCAGAATATTATTTATATTTATTATTTATAAAATATTGTAGAACAGGTTGTTTTAGAATATTATTTATATTTATTATTCATAAAATATTGTAGAACAAATTATTTTAAAATATTATTTATATTTATCATTCATAAAATGTTATAGAACAGATTGTTCTAGAATATTATTTATATTTATTTACATTTGACTAGTGCAAATTACTTGACTTACTGATAGATAAAGTATATTAAAAACTAATTTGTATAAAGTAAACTTTGAGACTAATAGATGAAAGTATTCAAAATACTCTGCATATTTGTAACAATTATATTTTATTTCTATATTAAAGGATTGTTTAAAGTTATTTATTATAAGATTTTCTGTTAACTATAAATAATTAAAATTTTGAATTTTTATTTATACATTTTGTTTATATAAATTAGTTCTACAGTAGTTATCAAAAGTATTACATTCCTTGATTTTTTGTCTTTAAAAAATTCTGTCTCCTGAACAATTAATTTTAGAATAATAGTTATTATACTTATTTTAATCTTTAAGTTTTAAAGAATTTTTTAAATTTTTTTTTGTATTAAATTAATAATACTAATTTTTTGCAAATGGATAATTGACATTAACAACTGACAATTGGTAAAATTTTAATTATTAAACAAAACTTTATAGTACAGTAATAATAATTATAGAATTAATCATATACTTAATTTTGTAATAATGAGTCAATGGTTGCTGTATAATTCATTCTCAAAAATTGAAATTATATATATAAAATATATTTTTTTACTGTTTCATATGTAAAATTTCAATTTTTGAGAATGAATTATGTAGCAACCACTGGCCAATTATCATGAAATTGGATATATCAATTTTTCTTGGAAGGGGTGATAAACTCTATAATAATTATTACTATAGTTGTGTTATATAAAATTTTGTTTAATGATCAAAATTTTACTAAGTGCTAATTATTGATATCAATTATCTATTTGTGAAAAATCCGCATTATTAATTTGGTACAAAAAAAAAAAAAATAAAAAAATTCTTCAAAACTTAAAAATTAAAATGAGTATAGTAATTATTGTTCTAAAATCAATCATCCAGGAGGCAGAATTTTTTAAAGGCAAAAAATTGGATGATGCCATATTTTTAATGACCACTGTACAAAGAAAAAAGGTGAAAAACATGAAAAGTACAAGAAACAGATGTCTAAACATATCTTGGTGCATTAACAAAAAGTATTGGAGAGGAAATTTTACATATAATATCTACTTAAACCCTAACCCGGCTCTCACTCTAATTTCGGGTAATCATGTGGTGGACACGGCTTTAGCCGACTAAGCCGGCCAAGTTGATTTTAAAATATAAGCCGATTTTTTAGACCGGCTTCGGTTGATGTTTACTTCAGATCGGATTTGTGTCAAAAAAAACCATATCAAAAAACCATTTGTTGTGCAGATTATAATCGTATTACGACAACGAAAAATAAAAAAAAAATAAATTTTACTTTTGCGCGTTTGTAAAACATTTTTTTTTTAAATTATACAAGCTGGCGACTCCACAGAGAAATCCCACACTTTTCATTTCTACTCCGAAGAATTCCTCTCCTACCCTGACCACCACTACAACCACCACCACCACGACAATAACCACAACACCAACTCGAAAAAAACGTCATTCACCTCGTTCCCCACGCACTTTAACAACTCGAATAAGTACTTCAACGCGTTCTTCACGTGTGGTTACCACTCCCACCAATAAGTCCTTTACTACTACCACCACCACTACCACCACAACAATTGAATCGCCAACTTCACCACTTCAAACCGAAACCTTATTAAAGATCTTTAAAACTTGTAAAAGGAAAAGTTATAGTCCCAAGTCTATACTTAAAAGAGAAGTATTAAAATTAGATGTTATTGGAAACGATTGTATTGGTATTAATTCCAATGCTAACACTCCTTTGAAAGGAAAAAGAACAAGATCTCTGGTTGGTTGTTTACTTTTGTTTGTTTGTTTGTTTATTTACTTATTATTATTTATTTGTAACTTTGCGATATATGTAATAATAATAAAGTATATAATAATGATAATAAGATATATAATAATAATAATAATAATAATAATAATAATAACAGATAATTATAATAATAATCAATAATAATAATAATAATAATAATAATAATAGTGTGATAGATTTATTCCAACACGTGAAATGGGAGAACCATCACAACAATTTAATATTCCACATCGAGAACCAGGAAAAGAACAATATATGAATAGTGCAGAATTAGAATATCAAGAAAAGTTAGCCGAAGCTTGTGGAATTGCACTTGAAAAACGAATTTTAGCATTTAACGTTGCGCCACCATCAAGTCAAAAAGAAGATTTACGTAAGATTTATAAACAACCATCATTTAAAACTTTTAGATCATCCGCATCAAAAAGACGTATTCCAACGGTACCCGAAAGAATACTTGATGCACCAGGAATGATTGACGATTATTATTTAAATTTATTAGATTGGAGTAATAAAAATTTGGTAGCGATTGGACTTAATCAAAATGTTTACGTATGGAATGCGGATACCGGATCAGTTAATTCACTTGCTCAAACCAATAATGGTGATGATTATATTTCAAGTTTATCGTGGTCAATTGATGGAGATTATTTGGCAGTTGGAACAAGTGATGGGGATACACAAATTTGGGATATTTTAAGAGAACAAAAGATTCGATCCATGTTAGGTCATGTGTCAAGAGTTGGAGTAGTAACTTGGAATAAACATGTTGTTTCTTCAGGATGTAAAGATGGAAGTATTTGGAATCATGATACAAGAATTGCTCAACATCGAATTTCCGAATTAATTGAACATTCAAGTGAAGTGTGTGGTTTGAAATGGCGTCATGATGGGGAATTATTAGCAAGTGGAGGTAATGATAATAGAGTAAATATTTGGGATGCGAAATCTAGTATTCCGAAATTTACTAAAACGAATCATACTGCGGCTGTCAGGGTAAATATTTTTTCATCTTATATAATTTAATATATATAATTATATGTATATGTTATGTTACAGTGGACCTCCTATATAGTCACCCCTTGTACAATCACATCATATAAATCTCCACTTATAAGCACACCTTTCATGAGGACCAATACTTAGTAATACTATATAAAAATCCCTCTATATGGTTATAATCACACCTTTTATTTTTTGTTTCTATGGTCCCGAGGGGGTGTGCTTGTAGAGGGGTCCACTGTATATTATATTAATATCAAATAATAATATTTATTTATGTTTAGGCAATTTCGTGGTGTCCATGGCAAACTAACCTTCTTGCTACAGGTGGAGGATCATACGATCGTCATATTCATTTCTGGAATACCAACACGACCGCACGTGTTAAATCCATTGATACCGGATCTCAAGTAACATCAATTATTTGGTCGAAAGAATATAAAGAGTTATTATCATCACATGGATATCCGGATCATCATTTATCAATTTGGTCATATTCTTCACTGCAAAAAATTATAGATATTCAAGCCCATGAAACTCGGGTTTTACATTCAACGATTAGTCCGGATGGTCAAGTGGTTGCAACTGCTGCAAGTGATGAAAATTTGAAATTTTGGAGAGTATTTCAAAATCGTGAAAAGAATGATAAATCAAAAAATGGGGGTAAAGAAAATGGAAAAAGTATTAATTCTAGATTACTTATTCGTTAGAAAATTATATAAATATATATCTATTAGTTCTAAAAAAAATAGACACAGTAACACAATAGACACGAGAAATATTAAAATAAAGAAAAATGTTTATTGAATTATTATTGAATTGATTATTTTTGATTGATTACGTTCGTTCGTTCCGTTATCATGTGATACTAGAAAGTCGTACATGTTCACGTGAAATAATTATATAAATTTAAATTTTCAAATTGTATTTCAACTATAATAATTGATAAATGATATTATAATGACAGATCATAATAAATCTCGAGGACGCCCTGCCAAAGCAGGACATAAAGGCGTGTTTACAAAGGATAGTAAGTAGTAGTGAAAGTTATATAATTAGTCTCTCCTCAAGTTTTTACATTACATATTTATTACTGACACTATTATATATATATAATATTATGTATTCAGTTCGACTTTTAATGTATGGGTTTGGAGATGAACCTAATCCTGCTATGGACTCTATAAATGTAATGGAAGAATTGGTTGTTGATTATATAACTGAAATGGTAATCTCATTTTTCCATTAAAAAAATGGATATCTCATAAATTTCTTAAATAAATATATATATATGTGAAGACATATTAATTACAGAAATCTTTTAATATTTTTTATTTAGTGTCATGGTGCATCGGATGTAGCCAAAGAACGAAAAGTCAATGTTGACGATTTTAAATTTGTCTTAAGGAATGATTCCAAGAAATTAGCACGTGTAGAAGAATTATTACATATGGAACAAGAAATCAAACGAGCAAGACAAAATTTTGATGTAAAAGAAATTGACGAACATGCTGCCAAAAAATTAGAAGCTCAGGAAAATTTGTAATTCTTTTAGTAATTGTCTAGTGGGTGATTTTTGGTGAAGTGAGAAAAAATAAATGAAAATCAACAAAATAAATTAATAATTAATTGAGGAGAGGAAAGAAAGGAAAGGTAAGAAGAGAATTTTTAAAATTTTTGGGAAATTTTCAATATTTTAATATTTCATAATACTAATAATAACGTTGATTTTAATATTAATAAAACATTGATTGTAATATTATTAATAATAATATCAGATATAGTTCTAATATTAATAATAATAATAATGTGATAATAATAATTATAACAACAATAATGTGATAATAATAATTATAACAACAATAATGTGATAATAATAATAGTGGATTATTATTTAAAATAATTAATTTTATTATTGTTATTTATATAATATAATAATTTTGACAATTTCATTATATTATTTATTTATTTATTTTATCTATTAATTTATTTTATTTGTTATTTATTCACTTCTGGATTATGAAAAAGAGTTGTATCACCATCTTTCCAAGGGAATGGCTGAAATTATAATAATTAATTGATTTTTAAATTTTTTTTTTTTAAAAAAATAAACATTATGATAATCGTAACAGAATATATAAATTAATAACAAAAAAATAATACCTTAACTCTAATTCTTTGGTATTGAAAAGGTGGACGTTCTCCATGATCTGAATGTTCTGAATGTTGATGTGCTGATGCAATTCTATATGCATTAGCAGAACCAATAATAAGAGCTGGGAAACATACATAAAAAGTGATATTTTTCCAAAGTTGTGAAGTACCTTTTAATAATAATAATAATAATATAATTAATTAATTTTAATTAATTTAAATATTCGTATAGTTATTATTTGAATTTGAGATAATAAAAGTTCTCGCAACACATAATTATTAAAAGTTATTTTTCTTCAATAATAATAATAATAATAATAATAATAATAATAATAATAATAATGATAATGATTATTAATATTTACTCTTTGCATGTTCTTCGATAGCTCTACGTTCCGCTGCAAATTTAGATTCCCCACTCTCAGAAGCTATGGTGGTTGCATATTTACGAATTGCAGTAGTATTAACAGTATTAAAGGATTTAAAGGGTTTAAATAAAGTTTTGCTTAAACGACCAACCACAAGAAAATTAGTCATTTTTTTATTTATTTTATTTTATTTTATTTCCAATGAAATATTTAAAGAAGTAATGTTGGATCTCTCATTACACAAAATTTTGTATATCAGTATGATTTTCCAATGTGGCGTGAATCATATCTTAGGCCACACACCAAAGGTCTTTAACCATATAAAATAGGATGACGATAGATTCAGCCATGTGTCATAATTTGCGGCTCGATGTGAGGGTCATGCCCGAACTGGGCATGTAGTGTTCTAACTTCCTAATTAATTCTTTTGTAAGGGTCAGGTTTGAGGCATATAGTGCTGAAATAGCAATCGTGTTTAATGCATTCAAATATCACCCGAGGATGAGGCACATAGTGCCGAATTGTTATCCATTTGATAGTAGCCAAAAGTAAAATTATATATATCTATCTTTTTTTTGTAATAATATTATACCTTTGACTACTACCAAAAATACACTATGTTTTAAATTCCTAGAATCCTTTCTCACATAGTTAATGCTTTTGAATATCAATCAAAAATGAGGCACATAGTGCCGAATTGTTATCTATTATGAAGTACTTAAATATCATCTGAGGATGTAGGCACATAGTGCCAAATCAAAAGTAAAATTATATAAACCTATCTTTTTTCTGTAATAATTATACCTTTGATTACTACCAAAAATGTGCTATGTTTTTTAATCCTAGAACTCTTTCTCGCGTAATTGATATTTTTATATACTGTCAGAAAATTATGTTATACCTTTAGCTACTACTGATTTAATACTCGTTTGATAGTAGTCAAAAGTATAATACCAAAAAAATACTTTAGCCTACTACCATATATCACTTACTTGAAAATTCACCTCGATAAAAATCGCGCAACACATCAATTAAATTATCTTACCTCATATACCAAAAGCACTTACATCGAATTTCACCTGGCAGGCATGTAAATTGGGCAAGTGGAACCATCACCGCGACGCAAAAACCCCTTTTATGTGATCTAGATATTGAGATATTAATTTTTGATTTGAATTTTTTCTTCCATTTATTGTAAAAGGTGACAAAAATCTCTTTACCCGGATATATGGACTTGTGAATGTAGCAATCTCTCTTCATCAAGAAATTATTACTTAACTAGATTATATTATTTTTGAAAGATTGGAAATAGCAATTACGCATATTCAATGAGGGTTGAAAAGTGATTTTTTAATTCTTTTTTTGTAGGGAGTAGTGGGAACACCCATTTTAGCTTTAAAATTTAGCTTATATTTTAAGAACTCAACCTCATTTATACTTTCACGCTCTTTTTTCCAGTAATTACTATTATTCCGAAATTCAAAAGCAATCTTGAATCTCCATTGTTCTAACTTTTCTTGAGACATTTGAAACTTATCTGTAAAAGAAGGATAAGAGTATTTATATCAGATTTATTTTTGATGAGATATTCTGAAGATAAAAAAATTAGCGGAGCTAGCAAGGCTAAGGATTCAGGTATTTTTTTTTTTCTTAGTTTTAGTAATTCTTGAAAATTGTTCGGAATTATTTGGTTGATTTTGGGTTAATATCATAAGGGGAAATTGTGATAAACTTGTTACGGATTTCTCAAGGCAAGAACTCTTTTCATTATTGAATTTTGAAGTGGTACCGTAATTTGCCGACCAAAAGCCCCGGGTCCTTTTGGGTACTTTGTTTAGCATGGTTGTAATAATACAATACCTATATATTGTAGTCGGGATACAATAATGCCTCACCGAAACGCTAACCTGTAAAATATACCCGGATATCCGTTTATCCGTGAACGGATATCCGTGAACCTTATCACGGATATGGATATCCATAATTGGATGTCCGTAGTTATCCATTTTTATCTATATTTTGTCCGTGGATTATAACATAAAATATAATATGTAAACAAATAAAATTTTAAAATTATAAACATTTTTAATATATAAACTTTGAATACGAATATCTAGCTGATTTTAATAATCAAGAAGAAATAATGAATATAAAGTTGCGTATTCCTGAATATCACCCTATAGTTCAAGTTCTTCCATTATATAAACCAGAATTAGTTAATGAAACTCAAAGAACTTTTTGATTCAATACCAACTACCGTAATTTGCCGACCAAAGTACCCCCTAGGGCAAAATTACCCCCTATGAAATTTACCCGGATTGAACCACTAATCGAACAATAATAAATGATATTATTTTTTTTTGTAAATGACTAATATAGTAGCATTGGTCTTATTGGTTTTGTGATAAAGAATTCTTATTAATCAGCATTTTGAAAGAATAGCACGTAATGCACAGCTATTATTAGAAGCAGAAAATGTTCTTGTTATGAATTAGCCTCACGGTTCTTCGGCACTAAATTTTCCACCAAGAAAAAAAAAAAAGTATAAATATTCCAAATATTCCCCAAGTTAAACGAACGAAAATCAGCTTTTTTTTTAAAAAAAAAAAAAATAAAAAAGGTACAATACAGACGACTACACAATTAAAGATGACTATTAAACTTATAGGATTTCATGCAGCAGTTCCAACCCTTAGGGTCATTACGACATTAAATGAATTGGGTGTTCCTTTTGAATTCTCTCCCATAAAAGATCGTGAAGATTTCAAGTCTAACAAATTTTTTGTTGATAAAAATCCATTGTAAGTATATTTCCTTCGTAATTAATAAAAATGTTATGATTTCTTTCAAATTAATTTAGATATCGATTTATTAAACTAATTAATTAATACAGTGGAAAGGTCCCAATTCTCATTGACGATGGATACATCATCTATGAATCCCGTGCGATTTCTCGATATTTAGTTACCAAGTATCAAGGAAAGTATAACGACAATATTTTGATTCCCGACGATATTCAAAAAGTTGCCACCATTGATCAACACATTTCGATAGAAGGATTTTATTACGATACTCCAATTTCTACCATCATATTTCAAGAAATTTACAGGAAAAAAATTGATGGAACGGGACCGGATCCCGAGGTCATAAAGAACGAACGCGAAAAACTTGCCAAAACGTTGAATTCTTACGAAAAAATATTGGAAGGCCAAAAATATTTAACAGGAAATGACGTTACACTTGCGGATATTTTACATTATCCTGCTACAGTTTATATAATTTCCAAAGGATATGGTGATTTATGGGAAAGTAGACCGAATGTTAAGAGATGGGTTGAGGATTTATCTAAGAGAGAAGTCTTGAAAGAAATTAAAAACCGTTTAGTAACTTAAATGATTTCAAATATAAAATTGTTAACTAGATGCACAGGCTTTAAATGATGAATAAATTTTTTATTGTTATTTACATTTTTTTAAATAAAATTAAATAAATAAAATCTTAAAGTAATTAAATAATAAATTATTGTATTTTCGATTTTGAATGTCAATGTCATTCAGATGACAAATTTTAAATTTTACGAACATAAACATAAACTTGATGAAATACGTGGACATCCGTTTTTTTTTTGAAAATTGTGCTCATCGTTATCGTAAGGACTAAATTAGAGATATAATCATGATAGCAAATAAAATATACTGTCTATCTGATACCTTATGATGTTTGTAACTAAAATTTATTGTCTATTTAGAAATCTAAATTTAAACGTAATGATCAAGTGAAATGTACATTTCTTCATGAATATTATAATCATTTAGGGTTTTACAATCCATAAGTTTAATTTCTTCAATGATCCAACTTTTAAAATAATAACATTTTTGAGGTAGAAATTATGTTTGAATCATCTTGGTTTCAACTGTTTTTTTTTCGTCAACCGACCGTTAACATTTATTGGGAATTTTATTCTTAATATCTCTGAGGGTGTCAGTAAGTTTAACTTCAATAATATTAATTTACGATAAATAATAGTGGAGTCTTTTTGAATGTCCTAAAGAATCAATATACAAAGTCAAAGAAGCTGTTCAATGAGCGTAGATGCACATAAACAAAAGTTTATGTAAAGGACTCATTACAATTAATATTCATAATTGCATTTAATGTAAGTGGTAAATAGACATTTTGAATTTAAACGAGCAAATTCCTCGCTTCAACTTTAAAGGACGTTAATAAATCAGACGGATTTAATTTATATTGACTACAAAATAGGTATTATGGAAATTTAAAAGGCACGATAAATCGACATCAGAAAAATCGATCTGTAGCGGAGGGTTACATTTCATAACAAATCTTTTACGGTTATTAAAGGGATGTATTTTTCATGTCTTGTAATAAATTTGAAGAGCACTCTTTCAGAATGATGAAGTATTGGTTCAACGTATGAACCTTGCTCCGATGCTGTGAATGAGAATTTTTGTGGGATTGGCGGAGATGATGATCGATGAATTTGGCTTTTCGTTTCTTGCACCTTTTCTATTTCTTGTTCAAATTCGCGTTTCTTTAAACTATCAACTGTCGCACTCCCTTTCCGAACAGTTACAGAGGTGGTGCCCGTACCATAAGAGACATTGAAAGAAATCTTTGCTTTTTTAAAAACAGCGTAGTCACTTTCACCAATGACATTTAACATTCTTTTGTTTTCTTTCTCTTTATCAAAAGGCATTAAGCCATATGTTTAACTGTGTGTATTCTTCTTGTAACTTTTGTCATTTTTCAATAGAGTTTGCATCGGTGATTGCAACGACTTTTCTTGTTTACTTATGACAGCCTCTCTATCTATGGGTGGATCCAACTGAAAGTAAAACTTTCGATTTTTTGCTTTTAAGGTGTCCTTAATGTTGACTTTGAGGTTCTCCTTGAGCCACTTTGAAAGTTTATTCATTATGAACTGACTAAATGGTGAAAATTAAAAAAAAATATTACAGCAAAAATTTAAAACAGCATAAGATAATTACACTACAATATCGTATCAATAAATTCTATATTTTATTCTCATTTTACAATATTCCAAAACATAACCACGAAAAACTCACCAAAAAGAGTAGACGGAAAAAAAAACTCCAAATATAATAATATTTTTTTATTAATGAAAACGCACCAAATAAAAAAGAGTGGATGGGGAAAAAAAGTTAAAATGACAGAATTTCGCAAAATTTTTATTTATTATAAAATATAAATCATTAATCAAACTTTCCCATCATTAATTAAACTTTCAAATTTGACACTTATAATAAAACAGGATGGTTTTATCGAGACTTTTTTTAATAATAGTAAATCCGAATCAGTGACATCAAATAAACTTCTCGTTAATGAAATAAATTTCTCTATTAATAACAAACCCAGTCTTATGATAACATCATATATTATTAGCCTTATAAAGAATAAATGATTAGTAATCGCGTATAAAAGAGACTATTGTCCGGCTATCAAATGTCCGTAACACACTGTATTTAAATAAGAATTATCTTTAACTTATTGAGTTTTTAAACTAACTGGTTCTTGATTAATCTTTGATTATTTGACAAAATTTAAGTTTGTTGTAATATTTGAAGTGATGCTGATTGGCTAGATCAGTGTGTAACGAAAAAGTAAACTCTTGACGCGTGACGCGTTACTCTTTTCTAACAATTGGCAGAAAGATAATACTTTGATAATGTACAAGTATTTTCGTAGATTCTCGATCTTATGTTTCGTAGGTGGAACCCGAGAAACCGAAAAACAGTTATTGTGTTTTTGTTAGGTGGTGATAATCCAAGAAACTTTTATGTTTCAAGGTGCACGGGCCCTTGCAAAGAAACCAAAAAAAAAAACAATGTGCAATGCATGTTTCGTAGGTGATAATCCGAAGAATCATATTTCATAGGTTGATGAAGCCTAAGAAGTATGTTTTGTAGGTGCATGGCTAAAGGGACTTGATTATCAAACGAACTCTTTTTGACCATTGTTGTAGGTAAAGTTTGTTATATTTACTGTAAAGGACAGTATTTGTGAAAATTTATAGTTAGGTAATTTATTAATTTCTATTTCTATTGCATCTTTTAGTTAAAAATTGAAGAAGTAATTAATTATGGCAGTTTTGGATCTGAGTGAACTTTCATAACTGTCTCCACAATTACATTGTTATCACAAAAATTCTGATTCGGATTCCTGGATGTTTGACGTAAGTTTTCTAGTCCTATTAATATATAAATATACTTGGTTATGCAAAAATCTCTTCTCCATTCCATTGATTCTACTAGTTTGATCGGTTTACATTCAATTATTAACACCACCACTACGAAACACGAATTAAAAATAACTTCATCTAATCACTTTTCTATGTTGTTAAGTGTGGAACTACTACGACGAGTGCTATTATTATTATTATAAAAATTTTTAATTGTTGCTGATTTAATTTTACCACCAAGATCTTTGTTACACAGTTCATCGAAGGTAAGTTTTCTTGTGTCTCTTTCCCTATCGAAGATTTCTTCAAAGCGGGTCCTTATCCTTATCGTTAAGGCAATGTCTGTAAATTGGATCCTATCATTATTATTTTCTAATTAATAAATTTATTTCTGTTTTATATTTAATGCGTTTTAACCCAATCTTTACCTGAGGAATTCGGGGATGATCGATCGAGTAAAAGATGATGATGAATGAGTAGATAAGGTTTGCAATTTATTTGCTGAAACATAACAAAGGCAAGGGTCAAAAAGTAGGGTAAAAAAATATGGCTCTTTAATAGGTTGTAAAGAAGTTGTACACTCTAAATATTATCGATCTAGTATTACAGGAGTCTTTAGATATTGCAACGCAAAATTATCAAGAAATCAATTAAAAATCGAAAAATAGATGGATGAAAGTTTTAAAGATTATAGTGGTATTGTAACTATAGGTAGGTTTTGTCAAGGATTTATAATTCGTGTAAATATTTATTACTAACATTGATTAACATTGATTATAGCCGAGAAATGGTTTCATATACCAAAGGTGATATATCGCACATATGATTTTCGAATTGGAATCGATGAATATGTTTTGAAAGATGACAACGAGCTTCGTGAAAAAATGAAAAAAGTTATGAAAGTAATTGAGTAATTGTGGGCTTGTTAAAGGACAGAGTGGAAGTTGATGATTCTTTTGATTCTTTTGTTAGTAAGATTATATTGTAAAGAATATATTGAGTAGAAAAATAATATTTCGCTCGATTATTACAATTTATAATAAAGTAAATAAGATGTGAGATCTTTAACGATCTTGACCAATACTCACTTCACAAAACAGTTTCTCATACCATGAATTCTACTTCGTTTTAACCCAAACCCCCCAATTTTAAAGCAAGTTAATATATAATATTAACTTGTATATTATGATTAAATCATTATGCATATCACTATAAAATTATCAAAATTATTATTATTATTTAAAGTCAAAATGAAATTTAATGAATTTCGAAATTTTCTTTTATTAATTCAGTTCTCATAAATGATGATTTTTCCTGAAAATAAATAAAAATCATTACTAAAGCTTTAAAAAATAAAATAAAAATATTATAAAAATGTTGCTTTAATGAGAGAAAAAAAAATTGACAAGAATTGCAAGAATTTCAGGAATTGTAAGAATTAGTTAAAGTTAAAAATCTATATAAAATTTAAAATTTATATTACATTAATATATGTGTTGGTATATTCATATATTCATATTTAATTCTTACCTTTAATCATTTAAGTTTTCTTTCCTTTCTTCTTATTCTTCTTTTTTTTCTTCTTCTTTCTTTTCTTCCTCTTTGTCTTCTTTTTCTTTTCCTTCATCCATTTTTACATCGGTTTTTACATAATCCGTTTTTATTTCATCCGTTTTTACTTCATCTGGTTTTACTTCATCCGGTTTCACTTCATCCGTTTTTCCTTCATCCGTTTTTACATTATCCGTTTTTGCATCATCTGGTTTTACATCATCCATTTTTACATCATCCGTTTTATAATTCATTTTTACATCATCCCTTTTTCCTTCATCCGTTTTTGCATCATCTGGTTTTACATCATCCATTTTTCCTTCATCCGTTTTTAAATCGTCCGTTTTTACTTCATCCGTTTTTACTTCATCCGTTTTTGCATCATCTGGTTTTACATCATCCATATTTACATCATTTATTTTTCTTTCATCCATTTTTCCTTCATCCATTTTTCCTTCATCCGTTTTTACATCATCCGTTTTTACATCATCCGTTTTTCCTTCATCCATATTTACATCATCCGTTTTTCCTTCATCCGTTTCATCCGTTTTTCCTTCATCCGTTTTTCCTTCATCCGTTTTTGCATTATCTGGTTTTACATCATCCATTTTTACATCATCCGTTTTTCCTTCAACCGTTTTTGCATCATCTGGTTTAACATCTTCCATATTTACATCATCCGTTGTTCTTTCATCCATTTTTCCTTCATCCATTTTTACATCATCCGTTTTTACATCATCCGGTTTTACATAATCCATTTTTACATCATCCGTTTTTCCTTCATCAACTTTTCTTTCCTTCGGTTTTCTTTCATCTACTTTTCTTTTTCCTTTTCCTTTTTCTTCTTCCTTTTCTTCGTCTTTCTTCTTCTCTTTTTCAAATCTATTCTCCAATTGCTTCTTTTTAATACATATTTCACAATAATTTTTATTTGGATTACCAACACATTGAAAAGCATTTTTCCTAATTTGTTTTTTACCATCACATTCTTTTCCATTACATATCGGATCTTTAAAAGTGGATTTTTTCAAAATTACTTCGTAAAGGTCATGTTTATGATGTGGTTCAACGATGTCAATACAATTTTCACAAGCATTAACTTTATCACATACATGACACATGTGAAATGGTTTATTAGGTGATATGACGGAGTCACAGTTTATGCAACGTAATGTATTGGAAAAAAATGAAGCCCACATTTTTCCTTTTTTTTTTTTTAAGAGAAAAAAAAAGAGATTATTTATTTTTATAGAGAAATGTATGTGAATAAATGAAATAAATGAAATAAATGAAATTTAATGAATGAATGAATGAAAGGAAGTAAATAAATTAAAATAATAAAGGTATTTTATCATCATCTGACTCGAATGAGTTATAAATAGATCACCGGAAAAATCAACAAAAAAACTTTTAGAACAAAAAATTAAATGATGTAATAATGATCATCATAAATTTTTACTTTGACAAAAAAAAGTATTAAAAAAAAGACATTTAAAAAATTCCCTAAAAATAAAAAATAAGGTTACTTGAATTCTCAAAATCCGTGTAGATCATATTGTAAATGAACATCATTTTTTATCTTTATTTATTAAGTTTATTTTTTTTTCCATTAATTATTAAATTGATTAATTGATACATTTATATTATTTTATATTTTATATTTTATAGATTTTTTTTTTCCTTTATTCAACTTAATTCAAGTACACATCATTAAATACTCTCTCCCTTTCTTTCTTCTTCATTCTTCTTCAACCAACAAGTGTTGAAATAGTTGTTGTCAATCTTGTACGTCATTTAATAAAATCATAAACAATAACAATAACCCAACCATAAATAATAAACAATCAATAAATAAATAATCAATAAACATACATCAATAAGTATTAATGATTATTAATTCATATTAATAATAATAATAAAAATATATCAACTAAGCCATAAACAACAAACATCAATGAGTATAAAAAAAAATTGTACTTAATTGTTTGTAAACATTTTAACAAGACAGGTAAGTGATACTCTCTAAAAATAAAAATAAAACGTTACATTCAATTCACTAAATTCGATTTTTTTTTTCATCGATTTTTCGATTTTTCTTAGATATTTCCATTATTATTATTATTTTTTGTATTTTTTTTATTTTTTATTTTTATTTTTTTCATTATTATATATAAACAATAGATATTTAACTATATTCATATAATCCATATAATCCATATCCTAAAAATAAAAATAAAAATAAAAATAAAAAATGAATATCACGAATAACAATAACAATAATAATAATTATAATAATAATTATAATAATAATTATAATAATAATTACAATAATAATAATTATAATAATAATTACAATAATAATAATGTTTCCAGAACAACAACACCAATACCATCAACCACAATGAGAATAACCACCACAGACTGGAGACAGTCACTTACCGAACAAGATAGAAAGAGATATACTTTTATGTTCTTTAAGGGATTAGAAGTATTTCAAAAAATTTCTCAAGTTAATTTTAACATTGCAAAATCATGGGAAACTCAAGCTTATAATAGAGCCCATTCACGAGAAGAATATAGTAATACGATAGGAAATAGATTGAAAGATTTAATTAAAAAAGTTCAAGCTGTGGGTAAACGACGAAGGCAACAATTAAGAGCTTTACGAGTTTTACAATTACAACAACAATTTAATACTCAAAATACTCAAAATTCTATTCAATCAAGAGTTACGCAACAACAACAACAACAAAATATTGATCAAATCGGTCAATCGAGAATTTTACAACAACCACCATTACCTCCTCCCTTATAAATAAAAAAAAATAAATCAAAATTCTGACCGTTAGACATTAATTTATAATTTATATGAATATTTTATATTTACAAATATTCATCATTCGAAAAGAATTTATATTCTTTATTATTATTTTATTTTTTTTTTATCTTTATATCAAATTTATCAAATTTATAATTTATCAATTTTATCATATCTTTAAATTAAATATTCATATCATATTAAATATTCTTTTTCTAAGAATTAAACAATATCGCGGTTGTAGAATTTTATTTTTTTTTTTATTCTTCTTATTATTATTTCTTGGATTTCTTGGATTTTTTTGGGTTTTTTTTTTTAAAAAGAATTTATAGATATTAGTGTTAGTGTTATTTTTTTTTTGTTAAAGAGAAATACAATTATGTATTTCGGATTTTTTTTTTCTTGATTATGATAAAAAGAAAAAAATATTTAATAAATAAATAAAATAAATAAAAATATATACGATATATATATAATAATAATAATAATAATAATAATAATAACATAATAATAATAATAATTGTAGTTGTAATTAATTCAAAAAAAAAATCTCATTTATTATATTTATTGTATATATATATATATATATCGATTACTTTGACGCGTATGTGAAATATTTTCGGTTGTTAGGTTGTTTACATACATATATATATATATGTACTAATTAATCGACACACGTCACGTCAACAACAAACAAACACAACGTAGAAAATAAACTATCCAATGTTATCCTTGTTGACGACGCAACAGTATAAATAAATAAATATATATATCATGTCACTGAAGTTGGTAACGTTCTCTTTTTGATTATTCACTTGTCAATTATGATGTGATAATTATTATTGTGTTACTGAAGTCAAGTAATGTATAATATATTTTTCTCTGTTTGATAATTCACTTGTCAATAATATATATATATATATATTATATTTTAAACTTAAAAATAAATTTATCAATTCAATTCAAACAAAAATGTTTAGGATTGAAAAAATAATGATTTATAATAATTAAATATGCATTGTGAACAAATTTGGAAATAATCAAAATCAATTTTTTGTTGAGAGAAAAATCAAACACAACACAAAACAATCAGACAATGAAATTCATTATGGACAAATTTAATTTCTTCAAACGAAATTCAAACACCATAATTCCGTTGTTAGTCACAATTAATTTGGTTAAACGAAATTCGGTAAACAATTTTATATATAAATCACGTTAATTCGAGAGAAATTTCAAGACATCATTAATTTCGTTGAACGAAATTTATTTCAAATCTTTTCTTTCCTTTTTTTTTTTTTTTTTTTTTTTTTTTCAATAAAACCATTTTTCTTTCCTCTTTTTTTTTTTTTTACTATTATCATTAAACATATATGATGAATTTATATTACATTTCTGGTGGAAATCTTAGAAATTATATAAAAAATATTGATTGGAATAATAAATTATTTCATTTAACTCAGTTAGCCGAAGAATTTAAAAAAATCCATGGATTAAATATCGTTCACCAAGAATTTAAAAATAAAATTTATGAATTAAATATTGGCGGTCAACAACAACAACAACAAGATTTACACCTAGGAGTAGGAAATATTTTATCTTACAATAATCCTAATAAGAAAAATAAATCTGGTTCATTATATATTACCGATTTTGGAGTATTACCATATATAGCTCCCGAAGTATTGTCCGGTGAAGAACATACCAAAGCGGCGGATGTTTATTCATTTGCATTTATAACCTATGAATTAATTACTGGTCTTCGTCCTTATTCCGATTTTCCATCACATTATTATGGTGATGATGATGTTGAATTGACCAGAAAAATTTGTAACGGGTTAAGACCGAAAATTCCACTTCGTACACCAAAATTTATGACAAGTTTGATTATGAGATGTTGGGATGCTCGAATTACTCATCGACCTACTTTTGAAGAATTGGTTAATGAATTAAAAAATTATCATAGAGATCTAAAATAAAACCGTGAGTTGAGTGAGTGATTCTGAAAAAAAAAAAAAAAAAGTTGAAGGATTTTCCCGAAAATCCAAAGAATTAATAGAATTAATAGAATCAATAGAATTGATAGAATTAAGAATTTTCATTTAATTAAATTCATTTATTACAAAATAAAATATTTATAAAAATGTATTTAAGAAATCAGGTACATGCATAAACTTAGAAACAATTAAATAAAAAAATGATTTGAGATAATTTATATAATAAATAAAGATTGAATTAATAATTGATTAATTAATTAAATTGATTAATTTTAAAGTAAATTTTACGGATTCAAATTTAAATTGAATTTTTTCGGTATTTTTAAAATTAATAGTAGGTGACGGGGATAGAGATAATATTAAGATCTTGAGATATATTGAGATGTTTTGAAATGTAAAAAGAAAGTGATAAAAAAAAAAATTAAAAGATTACATATTTATTTGTCAAGAAAAGATATTTTTTGACCTCACATGACATGATACAGTAAAATTTCATCCAACACCAGAATATGGAGATGCAATTAGAAGATATCAATAAAACTCTCTCTCCAAATTCAAGCAGGAAATGAAATTCGTAGTAGAAAAAATATCTACTTGAAAGCTACGTAGATATCAAAAGATGCCCTTTTCGAATTATTATCTGCTAAAATCAAATCAAGTGACTACTTGAAACGAAAGCGAGGTTAGGTCACATAAATGCGTTAGAAGATAAATATAGTTGATACATATTTGTATTACAATTATTATTATTTAAACAAAATGGGAAGAGTTAAAATCAGATTAACTTCTTTGTATGGTCATATTACAATTCGAACTGATCGCGATAATCGATAATATATCTTTTTTCAATTCACACACACACGCTAAATTGTTGTGTAAATAATTAATACATTACGTACAAACAGTTGAGCGCAGTCGAATGTAAGTATTATGTAATTAAGCGCAGTCAAATTAAGATTAGTCCAATCAATTGACTGACCGTCCGCAAAGTTACTGCGTCACCCCAATGTTTTATTATGTATATGCCCCAACAAAATTCTTGCCTTTCATTTTGTGTGAGTCAAATTCATTGAATATAAAAACCTAACGAGATTTCATCTATTCATTTACTTTATTATTTTAATTTAAAATTTTGTATCATTAAAAAAATCGTAAATGTCATCGATTTTTAGTGATTGTTGTTTCACTTTTTCGGGTTCATTTGAAGAAGGTAGTCATAAAATACTTGGTGATATTGTGAAAAAACATGGTGCAACCACTTCTTCAAATGTGACCGTTAAAACTACTCACTTGGTTTCAACCGAAGAGGATTATAATACAAAGAAAAGTTACAAAATTTCTGCTGCCTTAAAAAAAGGAGAAAATATATTAATAACTACTTGGAAATGGGTTGAAGATTCTATCAGCAAGAACAAAAGGCTTCCGGAAACTGAATATGTAATTGTAAGTGGAGAAGACGACGAACAAAGTGAATCGAATAATGAAAAAGGTGACAAAGATAAAGACGAACAGATTGAAGACAAAAATGACAACAAAACTCTTCCAATTTCAAGAAAACGAAAACTTAAACCTGATACATCCTCTGATCAAGATGATAAGATCGTTGATAATTCTTCAACTGTTATGACTGTAGCATCAAGTTCCAAGACTGTGGTTTCAAAAAAAAAACGTAAAATCAAAGCTAATGTATCATCATCTTCTACTATTGATCAATCAAATAATATTGATGATAATAATGTGAAAGTTGATGTTATGAAAGTTGAAGAAAAGAAAATGGTTACAATTATTAAAAAGGGAAAAGCTCCAGTTGATGAAATGTTTTCAATGAATAAAACAACTCATGTATACGCGGATGATCAGATTGTTTGGGATTGCCTTCTCAATCAAACTAATGTTAAAGGTAATAATAATAAATTCTATATTATTCAACTTTTGGAATCTGATTCAAATAGTTCTTATTATGTATTTAATAAATGGGGTAGAGTTGGATACACTGGTCAAACATCTACTTCAGGTCCTTTTTCTTCCTTACCTTTGGCTCAACATGAATTTCAAAGGAAATTTCGTGATAAAACGGGTAATATGTGGATTGATGTATGTAACGATAAATCAAAATTCGTACCCCATAAAAATAAATATACTTTATTAGAACGTGATTATGGTGAAGATATGGATGAAGATGAAAATGAAAATGAAAATGAATCTGATGTACCTGAATCTCAACTTCATCCCAAGGTTCAAGATGCTATTCAAATGATTTTTGATATTAATGCATTTAAAAATATAATGGTCGAATTGAATTATGATGCATCTAAATTACCATTGGGAAAACTTTCAAAAAACACTATAACTCAAGGATTTCAAGTTCTTAAACGTATTGAGGCTGTTCTAGTTAATATCGATCAAGGAAATCTAGAACAACTTTCCAATGAATTTTATACTGTCATTCCACATAGTTTTGGAATGAGAACACCTCCTATCATTTCAACCCTTGACTTGTTAAAAGAGAAATTAGATATGGTAGAAGCTTTGGGTGAAATTGAGATCGCAGCATCATTGATTAAATCGGCGGATTCAAAAATCAATTTATTGGATTCACATTATAATTCACTTAATTTAGAAAAGATGGAACCTTTGGATCATGATTCCGAAGAATTTAAATTAATACTTAAATATGTCAAAAATACTCAAGGCAGTACACATTATTGTAAAGTTGAAGTTCTTGATGTTTTTTCAATTGAAAGGCAAGGAGAAAATGAACGATTTTCAAAATATTCCAATTTACATAATAGAATGTTACTTTGGCATGGTTCTAGAAGAACAAATTTTGCCGGAATTTTAAGTCAAGGATTGAGGATTGCACCTCCTCACGTTCCTTCCAGTGGTTACATGTTTGGAAAAGGAGTTTATTTTGCTGATTGCGTAACTAAATCCGCAGGTTATTGTTATTCATTTATGAATGATAATATTGGTTTTATGTTATTATGTGAAGTAGCTTGTGGTGATATGTTAGAATTAGTTAGTTCGGATTATTATGCTGGAGATAGAGTTAAAAAAGAAGGTAAACATTGTACCAAAGGGATGGGGAGAATAGTTCCTGATCCCAAAGGATATGTTACTTTGAAAAATGGTACTATAGTGCCTTGTGGTAAAGGAAAAGAGATGAATGATACTACTAAGTATTTAGGTTACAACGAATACATCGTTTATGATGTTAATCAAATATCTCAAAAATATTTACTCAAGGTGAAATTTTAATTTAAACATCTCTTAGTTAATATTTTCAAGACAAATATATATATACGATAAAATGATATTATAATGTCTAGATATAACATTATATAATTCATAATAAAATTTTTTTATAAAAAGTATAAAAGTTCGGTTTCAAAAAACGAATCATGTATTCCTCCGAAATTCATTATTGAAACATTAAAATAAAGTTGTTATTAAAGTTTTCTGTAAAAATTTGATAATTTCGTTTTTAATGTCATTTGTTCTTAAGCGAACGAACGAATTCTCTAATATCAATTTAGAAATGAAATTTCTGATAATAATTAATTTTCGTTGATTAGACAATTTCTTAAATTTTATTTTCCAAAATTTAAAAAGATTTATTTAAAATAACTTTGACACGTTATAAACGAATTGATTTTTTTTTTTTTTTAGTTCATTCCAAATCATCTGAACGCGGTTATCCTTAAGAATAATAATTTGGGTGTAAAACACTTATAATTCCGTAACCAGTTCAACTTGCTTATGAAACTTTCCATTAGTTCATCAAGGTTGCACACTCTTTTAAAATAAAGGTTACTGAAAACGATATTCGTAGAATCCCAGAAAGCTTTTCAGGACTTTTCACAAAAGTATGTATAATCTTCCATTGGGGTTCAACTTCGTTGTAGGCAGTCTTGATCGAATCTCTGGTTCTTATCTAATCAATTAGGTGTAAGCAATAATAATTTGTGATAATTAGAGTGGTGATAAAGGAAAGTAAAAATGATTATGCTAAGGGGCATACAACGGAAACGCGGACCATAAGATAGACAAAACGCAGTTCATTAGAGGGTCAAAACGCAGATGTCCCCCCTAGTCGCGTAACCACATTTGAAACCTTTAGCATAGCATAAAAGAAAAACCACCTTATAATTTCGTAACAACCGGCTCAACTGGCTTGTGGAACTTTTTCAATCCTTTCATTAGTTCATTTGAAATGAGGGTTGCTGACAACGATATTAATGGAATCCCAGAAAACCGTAATCTATTCGCGAAAGTATGTAGAACTAGAACACATTATCTTTTGTTTATTAGAGTTTTTGTGTTTGTTAGAGCGAAAGAGTTTATGGTAGAGTGAGAATTTTTGTTAGGTGAAAGAGTTTTATGTTTATTAGAATTTTAGCGATTACTTTTTTTTTCATCAGTTACGCGTGACGCAACTTTTTACAGATTATAATTAATTACGCACGTGACTTAAAGTATCAAAAAATACAAAAACGATACTTTTGCGTATGATATTTGATTACATCAAATTACTTTTTTTCAAACAATAAACTCAATGCATGGCATTATTAATTCTGATCTCAATTTTATTATTCCGATTTATACAGCGCACATTGGTTTAAACTTCAAAGAAAAATTATATATATATTTTATATGAAAAACTTATATAGCACAAAACCGTTTTTTAATTGTAATACTATACATAATAAAGCGAATTGATAACATTTTTTGAAAAGCATCAACCAAAAAATCAGAGCAGTAAAATCATAATAAAGATAGCTTACTTGCCATTTCACTAATTCTTTACGTACTTTGAAAGTTGTCATTGAGTTTTTTGCTTATCAAAAGATTCTACTTAAAAAGTAGTAACGAGTTAGAACCTGAGAAGTAGAATATAAAGCTTTACTTCAAATTACAACGCTATGATTACTTACCTGATTTTCTCTCTTGAATCTCTTCCGATCCTCATAGAGAACATGGGTGAATTCAAATAAGCCAGGTTTACTGAAAAGTATTTCAACCTGAAAAAAGCGGAGTCATTAACTTCTTGTTGTTTCATCTTTATTTCGATTTTCTTTAATTTGTTTTTTCACATTGACCGTTTATTTGACTTTATGAATTTAACAACTTCCATTCCGTAGGGAGTTTATTGGTCATGATTCTGTAATAAAATCCATAGTTAATATAAATATTCGTAAAACATTTGAATTCCATATTGGTCTCCCTAAGAAATAAATTGATAGTTGCCTTGATTTTTTTTCTGTTTCAGCATGCTTTCGGAGGGATTCGAAAACATCTTCATCCGGTTGTTGATACATTTGTTTAAGAACGCTATTACCACTACCAATATATATTTCACTGGATGTACTGGAAATGAAAACATTTTCTGTACAATTAACCTTCGTCTTTTTCACCTAATAATGACGTATGGTTCGTCAGTAGGTTTTATGATACTTCTTATGTTCATTGTCCTAAGAATAACAAAAAAGAGTTTGATTAATTTGATCAAATTAATCAGCTTTCGCGTATCATTCACGAGTCTCCTTATTCCAAAAGAAATGTGTCAATCTAAAAGATTGTCAGAGTAACAACCAAAAGTGTACTCCTAATCCAAAAGATGGGTGTGATCTAAAAGATCTCCGAGGCAACTAAAAGTTGACAACACGTATAAAAAATGAATATACTAGCCATTGACATTATCAAAAGGTTTGCTGTCCGAACTTTTTCGAAGTCTGAATTTTTGTTCGCAATTGCGCGAAGACTTTTATTAAGTGCGTCATTAGCACCACTGCAGGAAAGTTTCTTGGGGTCATCGCTGTGAATGCGACATCAATTTTCATAAACTCACAGGGGTTGTGTTATTATTATCATATGTTAATTGTCTGTTTAGTCTAAAGGAATGGTCTTATCCTCCCCCTCGCTTAGCGAGTGTTGCGATCGAAGAAATATAGTAGTATTGATTTTATGTCTAAAAAAAAAATAATCACATGTTAATAGTAATAGTCACGAGACGAATGCGTACTACCACATCAGGGACACAGAAAAATTCCGATATCAAATTATCACCAATTATTTCTGTTTTGATTGTTAAAATACATCACAGCGAATTCTGTCCATAATTTCTTTTATTATAATAATAAAATTTTTCTGGTCCCTGTACCACATAAAACTTCGGATGATCAAATCAAATTTGCTTAGTTTGGCCGAGACGTGTACAATCTACTTCCGTCTATACCAAAATTGCTGTTCTTAATTTAAAAAGTGAGGATAAAAAATCTCTACGCGTCCCCTTCACCACAAAGCCTCTCGTAAGAGCTGAAGCGGAAAAAATTATTCCTACATGTGAGGACGACGAAGAGGTACTTGATTATTTGAAAGAACTTCTATAGCATGGTAAAGTAACCAGTAGGCTTAATTTTTGATGGTCGTATATTTACTGTCATATTTTATTAATAATATTGAATATTCTAACATACACAGTCCGGCAATCATTGCCTTCTCAAGATGAAGTTAATAATTAATGAGCAATCAATATTTTCTCCAACTCCGTCACAAACTGTCCAGCAATCATCTCAAGATGTTGAATTTGTTGTAAATCACAAATTAACGAGCAATCAACATTTTCTCCATCTCCGTTACAAACTGTCTAGCAATCATCTCACGATGTCGAAGTTGCTACGGATTGAGTAGTTAACGAACCGTCGATTTCATTTTCTAAAATAATTCAGGATGACACGCGCTTACCTCTCAATTTCTCTGCTATTACAGTAAGATTTGCAAATATATAATTTATTACTATAATATTTCTTTATTTGCTTCACTTTCACATTCGTACAGAACTTTGGGACAAGCCTTACAATGATTGGCTGAATCTCCGCAAGTTTTCTGAATACTTACATGGTGTTAATAAAGATCGAATTCATAATTCGTTCAAAATAGAGATCAGAGCCTTACAGAAATTATTTAAAAGCAAAGCTACGTCTTATTCATTTGGAAGGACAACTGAAGGTAAGTTATTTACTAAGTAACCCTAAGTAACCTGAAGACCGATCATCTATGCCAAGTTGTGCTTGTTGAAGAGGTGATACCTTTGAATACGGATTAGCCATTGACGTAATGTTTGGCTTTTCTGGCGATTTTCGTGTCTGTTGTGTCTGTTGTACTTTAGTAGAGATAATATCTGTACTGTCTGTATGAGAGCTGTCTCAATGCCGAGTGCATAAAGCATAGAACGTATTCCTTGTTTAGCTAAAGTTGCATGAAGCATCGGACATGTTCCTGGTTACTATGGTTACTAAAGTGTGGTACATCCCAGGATCAACAAAAATAACGAAAATTTGTTAGGGAGCAATTTACAAAAACTGAAACTAAACAAATGATAACAAAAAAAAAATAATAGAAATAGCGAAGGTATAGTTTTTTTAATTTTATTATATTTAGTAGTTTTTTGAGATTAATCCATCATTAATATTTCAGAATTCGGTAATTACAAATGGGTATTATCGTATTAACGATTAGTTATTGAAGTGATGGATGACACAAAAAAAGGGAAACAAAGTACTGAAGATCAATAGATCATATATTGAATTACAAATGTCAAATTTTAATGTAACTAAATTGTGTGATAGATGCTTTATTTTGTAAATAATGAAATAAACATTTTCAACCCTCTTTGTCCCTTTTCTATCTGATTGTTATTATGGCCAGCCAAATAAATTTTTAAAACAATGTAACAATGTATGTCTTTATGACAGAATAATGAGTTCCGCTTATTTGAATATTGTCTGAAATATTATTTTTTATAATAAAGAGATCGGTGTTTTTATTTTTGGGAGGTACATAACAAAAAAATTTTTTTTTTCATAGTAAAATTCACGTTTTTTTTTGTAATAGCCGAGTAACTAATAATTAAAATATTGATTAAATTATAAAATTAGATAGATGAGATATGATATATTTATTCGTATTATTTTCGTTTCAAACTACTTTTTCTGTATAAAGAATCCTCGTCAAAATAAAAAGGAATTTCGGTAATAGAGATTATTCATTAACAAAATGGAAATCTTAAATTTTTGAATTTAAATTAACAAATAGTAGTTTTTTTTTTATGAAAATAACAATATTGAAGAAAATTCCAAATTTACGGATATAAATTACGATAATATTATGAGATAAATAATAATAAGTCGATCTTTTAATTGAATTTGATGAAGAAGGATATTTGCGTGCATTAAATTTTATAAAATATGATGAAATAGATATTAGTGACATTGAATTTGATATAGAACCCGAGTTATCCGAAATTCTAGTAATTAAATGAAGAATTATTTTATCAAACTAGCCAATATCTTTTTTTCCAATGACCACGATCACCCGCTCATGCAATATACGTGATACATAATATAAAAAATAATTTTAATTATAGTTTATGGTTAAAATTTAAATAAAGAAAAAATAAAAAGAAAAATAATAAATAAATTGAATGATCAAAATTTAAAAACAAATGGAATTGTAGTAATTT